CCCCCCCCCCCCCCCCAAAAAAAGCCGCAACTCTGTCCTACGCCCTGCTCTGCCCAGCCTCAGCAGCACCAGCCCCAGCCCCAGCCCCAGCCCCAGGCCCCCTGCCCGCAGCCCATGGGGTCCGGTACCTCTTCTCCGGGCGCTGCTTCTTTGCCTCTCCCTGGCTGCCCGGCCGGGTGCGGGGCTGGGAGAGGGGAAGGTGGGATTACCTTACTGCTTAGCAAGGCAGGTGTGGGGAGAGCTGGGAGCTCTGCCCCTTGCTCCCTGTTGCTCTCTTCTCCTCCTCCTCCTGCACAAAGAGCCGCAGCCTAACACGAAGTAACCCTGGGGCTGGGCTTCTCCACCCAGCCTGGGATGAAAGGCTGGGACTCGTGGCTTCCAGAAGTTGAGTCCAGTCAGATCCACCCAGGGACTGGACACGGGCTTGGAGGAAAGAGGCATCAGGAGCTCTGGAGCAGGGAGCAAGGGGCACAGCCTCTGCATCCTGGACCCTCGGTGCAGGGAAAACCTTGCTCAGACCCAGTCATCTCCCTTCCAGCCTCCGCTCTCTGCCCCGACACTGAAGACTGGGCATGACGGACTTGGGTCTGACCCAGTCTGCTGGGACTGAAGTCCTAAGGGAGAAAGGAAGGTCTCCCCTTCCCAGTGAGCAGGTGAATGTGGCAGGGCAGCAAGAGCTCCCTGCTTCAGGGGAAGCTGGCAGAGTCCCTGCAACTCCCCTCCGCAGCAGGGCTCGGCTCCGAGGAAGGGGTGGTGGGTGGTGAGGCACCCTTCCCTGTCTCTGCAAAGCCCGGCGTGATCCAGGCATGGGGCAGTCCATCCCCCTGAGAGCAGGGCCACAGCTTCCTTTCCCATCTCGGGAAAACACAGCCCTGCTTTCCCTCTGACCCTGTGCCAGGTGTCCCCTGCCCGAGTCCAGCTACTACCACCTCTCTGCCCTTCAGTGACTTGTGATTCACCGGGGGGTCTAATGCAACCGGCACCGCAGATGACCCCAGTGCTGGGGCACTGAGATCAGAGCGGGTCCCCGAGGGAGGTGGATTGATCCTCCCTGTCTGGATAAAATCAGGCCGGTGGTGTCGAGAGCAGCTCCAGGGCCAGCTCTGATAGTCAGCCTGCTTCTCTGGTACGTGTCACTGAATGGGTTAAATGCCAGTGTCCGTGCCAAGTCTCCTATGAGCAGCACTGGCGTTGGTGTCCTTGGCCCAGCCTCACCTTCCCTCTCCGGCCAGGCAGAGCACCGGGGTCACCTCCTTGCCCAGAAACAGCCGTTGTTTAATGGTGCTGGATCTCTCTCCCGGCTGAGGGCCCCAGGAAGGCGATAGTCTAGGCATGGCAATACCTGGCAAGATGGATGGTAAAACCCAAATGGAAGCCCCTGAGCAAGGGGATCCGGCATCTGATGCAACCCGAAGCCATTGCATGGTCCCCAGCCTTATGGAGCGGTCCCCTCTCCCTGTATCCCAGCCCTGCCTACCCGGAAAGCAACACAAAGGTTGGCAAGTGCCTGCCTATTGCTCACAGCACCCAGCAGAGCCGGGCTCTCCCTGTGCAGCTGCAAAACAGAGCAGCGGGAGGAAGATAAGGGCTGCTCCCCTGCACAGGGTGGGAACAACATGGGTGCAGAGCAGGCAGCATGGCCTGCGCTTTCAGAAGCCCCGAGCTGGTTTGGGAGCCAGAAATGACATCAGAAGTGCTGTAAGCCCTTTAAGGAGCCTAAACCCCATGGTTTCCCCATGAAAAAGGTTCCTTCTCCACTTGGCTGCTTTTGCAAACGGCTAACCCCACGTCTTGTTCTATCAGCATGGGTGGAGATGCATCTAAGAGGCCTCCCCCATTGCTAAAAATCATGCTTTCCTCTCCTTCTGCAGGGTGCTGGGTGCTGCAGGCCTATCCTGGGCTCCATTAGAGATGCAACATCAAGGTAGGAGATAACTCCCTGCAAGGCAGGCACCAGTCTAGGTGGCTCTGGCATCCTCTCACCTAGTGGGGAATGAGCTGTGCTGGGTGGTCTGGGGCAGGGGTGATAGTTGCCCTGCCATGCTTTTGCTAGAGACAGTCCAAGAAGGGGGAGAAAGAAGGAAACCTGGGGAGAGAAGTCCTAGGTCCTGGGGGACCTCCTGACTCCTGAACCATGGGGTCCTTGGAACTGGAGTAGAGCTGGCTCTCACCCCCCCGGGACAAGGAGCAGGCAGCCTGGGGTGGCAGGTTCCAGCTGGGGACACTTCACGCTCTCCCTCCTTCACACAGTCACCAAATGGGGGGCTTCTGCCCCGCTCGCTCCCCACCACACTGCAGACTCAGCCCTTCCATGCCATCCTTGCATCTCCTGAGACCGTGGCTGTCCTGGCCCCCAGCCCTGGTACCCCCCCAGTCTGCAACCACCGACCCCAGGGCAGACCCCACCACCCTCCTGGGACCCTCTCCCCATTGCACTGAGCTCTGGGCTTACAGGCGTTGCTCGTACTTGCAGGACCAGCTCACCTCTACCCACGTGCCCCCTCTTCTCCACCTCACCCACCCTCCGTGCCACCTGTGACAGGGAACCAAGGCCGAGGAGAAGCAAAGATGCCCCTTTAAGGGCCAGATTTCTGTGGCTGGAAGGGGCAAGGGCTTGGAGCAGGGGCATGCTGCTATAGCACAAGGGGAGGGATGCAGCCCTGGAGCCTGTGCAGAGAGGAGCCCCGGTCAGGGGAGGTGGCCAGGGAGACACGGTAGGAGCGGTGCCGCAGCCAGCAGGGGAGACAAGAGGCTGCTCCAAAGCAGAGCTCCAGACAAAGGCTGCTCTGGGCAGATAACTGGGGCAGAAGTTGCTGGTGGGGGAGGAAGGCACCCCGGGGTGGGCAGAGCTGGTGCGGGGGGATAAATGAAGCTACAAAAGAGGACGTGGGGCAGTGGCTGGAAGTTGCAGCCACGGAGGTTTAGGTTGGAGATCAGGAAACACTTCATCGCTGTCGGAGCAGGGAGGCCGCTCCATCCTGAGGACTGTCCATCACTGGAGGCGTCAGGGGCAGGTGGGCGGGCGCAGAGCAGGGAGGATCCAGGTGCAGCGATGTCTGCTCGGCTGTGGGGTGTCCCAGGCCTCTGGGATGTGCTGGGTGCCCCCCGCCTTCTGCTCCATGTGTCGGGGGGGCTTAAGCCTCCCCCAGAGGTGCTGCTGCAGCCCAGGCTGGGGATGGGGCTGGGCTGCGCAGCACCAACCCCGTAGGGTCCTGGCTGGATGGCTGTGACCCCGCAGCTCCCTGCCAGCCCCAGGGCTCTGGGACGCTAGGCTTGTCTAGCTGGAGTTTCCCAGCTGTTTCCTGCAACCCAATGGTGAGACCCCAGCTCAGAGAACATGCTCCAGGATGAGCCTCAGCCTCCCTGAACAGCTCCATCCCGCAGCACCCGATCCCTTCCCCTTCCCACCCCTTCTCTTGGGGTCCCAGGTGAGGCAGCTGGGGGATGGCGGGGACACATACCCCCTTGCTGCAGACAGCAGCCCCCAGGACCCTGTGTACCTGGGTTATTCCCCAGGGGCCGGCGGTGTGAACCAGCTGGGAGGGGTCTTCGTGAACGGCTGCCCGCTGCCCACGTGCAAGAGGAAGAGGATTGTGGAGCTGGCCGTGAGCGGTGTGCGGGCCTGCGACATCTCCCGGAGTCTCCAGGTGGGTCATGGGGTCAGGAACGGGGCTCCTGTGGGTGCGGCACTGCCCTGGGTACATGCACAACTGCTGGCTCCCGGCAAAAGCAGGGTCTAGGCTATGATGGACATGCCCCCAAGCATCTTGGTCCCGCAGGTCTCCAACGGCTGCGTCAGCAAGATCCTGGACCGCTACTACCGGACAGGGGCCGTGGAGCCGAAGGCAACGGGGGGCAGCAAGGCCCGGCTGGCCCCCCCTGCCGTGGTGGCGCGGATCGCCCAGCTGAAGCAGGAGCAGCCGGGGCTTTTCGCGTGGGAGATCCAGAGGCGGCTGCAGTCCGAGGGCGTCTGTGCCAGCCACCGGACGCCCAGCGTGAGTGGGTGCCCAGGGAGGCCGAGCCCTGGGGGTTGGAAGATGGGAGCTACCCCCATCCCCTGGCCTGGAGAAGGGACCAGGAGACAGGACGTAGCACGTGGAGATGGTGGGGGTGAAGGGGGCCAGGTGGGAGGGGATGAAGCGGTGTCCTTGGCTGGCAGCGGCTGCCCTGAGCTGGAGAGGTGAGCGCAGACCGGCATGGGCAGTTCCCAGGCAGCTGGGCATCCTGTCCCTGGCACATCAGCACACGAGGAACGAGGCTCTTAGTGGTGCTAGGCTGACAGCACCCGTGAAATGCAGCCTGCAGGGCCCTCATATGCCCGCCACGCTTTGCCGGCTCCTGGCTCCCATCCATAGACTGCTTTCCTGTCTTTACCCTGTTTGTGTGCACCGTGCCTATGGGCGGCATCCCCTGGACCCGAGCTGTTTCCATCCAGCCCGCGGGAGCCAGAGGGGTTCCAGGTTGTGGCTGATTCACGGACCCCCCTGAGGTGACTCCCAGCATCTTCTCTGCCCAGGTCTCTTCCATCAACCGGGTGCTGAGGAGCCTGCCCCCCAGCCTGCCGCTGGCCCCCGGCTGTGCCTTCACCGTGCATCCTTCCCCGCCGGGTGAGACCCAGTGGGGAACGGGGAAGGGGATGGTCCCCCCCAACACCCAGCATCCCTTGAAGAAGGGCTAGTTTCATGCCCACAGCAAGGAAACCCCCAGGGACTCATCCCCTGACACCCCCATCTCCCTCTCCCCATCTCCCATGTGCCTTTCCCTGCCAGGAGATGCCCAAGCTGGGGTCTCAGCGGTGATCCAACATCCTCCAAGAAGCTCCGAAGCCCCCCGGAGCTCGCCGCCGGACGGCCAAGCCAGGAACAGGACGGTCTTCTCTGCCACGCAGTCACTGGCCCTGGAGGAAGGTGATTGTCTCGGGCGGGGGCCGTGCGGCTGCTCCGGTTCTCTGGCCTCCGTGCACCGAGCACATCCCGGAGGGGTTGGACCCCAGGGCGAGTTATTGCAGGTTTGGGGGGAGCTTCCTGCTTCTCTCCAAAGGTGCTGGTGCTGGATAGAGAGGTAGGGAACCCCGGTACGAACCAGGTCTGGGTCCCTGCGGCTTTTGGGGGTGGGGGTGTGAGGGGCAGTTCAGCTTCAGACCCAGCGACTGGGGCAGCCTTGCAGCTCTTCCCTCCCGACTCCCTTCCAGCTTTCCAGAGGGGGCAGTACCCGGACGCCTGCACCCGGGAGAGCCTGGCCATGGCTACCCAGCTCCCCGATCCCACCATCCGGGTAAGTGGGAACCATTGCCCTGTGGCCTGCCCTGCCAGACGTGAGCTGGGCAGCCTCGCGAACACATGCGAGTGAGCACAAGTAGCAGACCGTGAGTCAAGGAGCATGGGAACGAATGTGCTGAGTGTGCAACAGAGGGGCCTGGCCAAGACAGGCTGCTTGGGCGCTGGAGCTGCTCCCGGGAGGGGTTTTCTGGCGTGTGGCACCTGTGAGAGCAGGAGGCTGGATGCTCCTAGGGCCGTCGGCACATGCGTGCCCAGGACCAGGCATGTTGGAGCAGCTGGTATGTGTGTGTGGAAGCATCAGGCAGGGCCCTTCCCCTCTGTGCATCTCCCCCGCCCCCTGGCCAGACCCCCGGGACCTCTGGGCACAGCTGAGCAGGGAGCCAGGGTGGAAGGGGACTAACCCCCAGCCACCTCCCTATCCCCTCGCCCGGGGCAGTGGCCAATGCCTGGGTCCGACTTTGGGCAGAGCCTGCTTCAGACAGTGGCAGCAATGCCCAGGTGCCTGCAAGCCCAACCCACCGTGGCCCAGGCAGGTGGAGCGAGGGCGCCCCGGACGAGCCCCGGGTGTGTGGCGTGGTTTGGGCTCCGGCTCCAGCCCAAGGTCACGGCGCCGTGGGCCAAGCGGAGGGAAAGGACCTCGTGGCCTGTGGCTCTTGTGCTCCAGGCCATGAGCTCTCAGCTTCTCTTGGTGCAGCCTGGATTGCGGCGTCAGCGCGTTGCACCCGCCTGCCAGAGCCGTCACAGGGCCCATGCACTGCCCGCAACGTCATGGGTGCACACGCCTTCTTTCTCACACACACATTCTCACACGCGCACACCCCTCCATAGTCTCACCCCCTCATATTCTCTCACACACATGTTCATTCACACACATGCACATAGGTCCCCATAGTCTCAGTCATACATGAGCAGGCGTGTGCACATATACACATGCTCTCAGACATACACACTCACACACCCCTTCATAGTCTCAGGCACACACACACATACTCTCACACACATGCAGTCTCAGACTTACACGCACACCCCCTCATAGTCTCACACACGCACTTCTCCCCATGTTTTCTCACACACCTGTTCATTGACAAAGACACACATACCTCCCCATAGTCTCAGATAAACATGCATGGGTGCACACACACACACACACACACACACACACACACATGCATGCACACACACCTACACACATGCCCATAGTCTCTCAGATATACGCACATACACCCCTCCATAGTCTGACACACACAAGCCCATACACCCCCATACTCCCTCAGATGTAGACACACACCCACACACACACCTCCATAGTCTCAGACACACACAGCAAACATACATACATGTGCACACACACCCATAGTCTATTAGATGTACACACCCATCCACACACATACCTTTCCATAGTCTGACACACGTGTGCATGCACACTCCCATAGTCTCTCCCCCACCTACATGCGCGCGCACACACACACACACACCCATTCATACTCTGACATGCACACATGCATATCCCTCCATAGTCTCACACATGCACACACACACACATATGCATGTTCTCACACACCCATTGTTTCTCAGACATACACACCCATCCACACATATACCTCTCCCTGGTGTGACACACCAACACCCCCCCTTCCATAGTCTCAGGCACACATGTGCACACACACACACACACATGCATGTACACACATGCCCAGTCTCTCAGATGTACACACCCATCTATACTCATACCCGTCCATAGTCTGACACATGCATGTGCAAACACAGCCATAGTCTCTCAGATGTACACACCCACACGTGCATATACACATACATGCCCCTCCATAGTCTCATGCACACATGCACACACACACTTGCATGCACACTCCCATAGTCTTTCAGATGCACTGTTTGTGCCTGCTAATGCCCTGCACCGGGGACGAGGCACGGGGGACGCAGGCTGCTCGCTGCATCACCCTCCAGGGGTGCATTTTGTTAGCCCCAGGGCTGCAGGGCAGGGAGGGGCTTGGCTCAGGGAGTGACCCCGCAGAGCCTGGCCCTGGCAGCTGCATCAGGGCTGGGAAGACAGAGCAGACCAGGAGCTCGGGCTCGGGGTGAGTGTCCTGTCCCCCAGCCCCACAACCCATTTTTGTTACCCTATGATGGACTCTCTCCAATTTGTCCACATCCTTTCTGTAGTGGAGGGCCACAGCTGGACACAGGACTCCAGATGTGGCCTCCCCAGTGCTGAATAGAGGGAAGAATCACTGCCCTCCATCTGCTGGCAACGCTCCTGCCAATGCAGCCCCGGATGCAGCTCTGGCTCTGGCTGGGCAGTGACGGGAAAGCTCCCTGACTCCTTAGATGAGCTTAAAACTCCTGAGAAGTTAGGAGAGAATCCGCATTCAGGTCTTTCACTGCGGCTCCCAGGGCCGTGCTCCCACAGGACATGGTTCGCAGATCTCTGCTGCCATCAGGAGAGGTCGGGAATTCATCCTTTAAACATAATGCAAGCATCGTCCCCTGACTTTGTTGGCTGCCACAGTCCCCTGGCTTTACCCTTGGCAGGTTTGGGTGCTCTGCTTTGTGGCTGTGTGTGAGGACTCGGAGAGTCCCAGAGCCGCGGGGCTGGCGGGGAGCTGTGGGGTCGTATCCGGTCGAAGCGCTGCCTGAGGCAGGATCAGCCCCGTCCAAACTAGCCCCCGTCCCCTGGCGTCTCTCCCGTGGCCTCCCTAGTCCGCCAGTGCAGTTTCCCTGAGATCCAACCTAATTTGTGGAGTTTCAGTACTAGGTAACACAAGGATTTGTCTGGGCTGGCTTGCACACAGCTGATCCTGCCTCCAGCAGGGACTTACACTAGCTGTGACCTCCCGAGGTCCCTTCCAGCCCCGCTTCTCTCAGACCCTCCTGACCCCCAGGCCTCCTGCGGGTACCACACGCTCACGTCCTACGCACGCCCAAGATGTGCACCCTATGCCCGCAGCAACCTCACCCGGCCCCAGCCCCGGTAGGGGCAAAGCCCCCGATGCTGCGAGATGCACCCGAGAGCTGGAGCCCGGCAGGAGGGCACAGCTGGGTGGAGGGGGCCGAGCAGGGCTGATGAGCAAGTCCGTCTCCCTTCCCCGGCGCCAGGTCTGGTTTTCCAACCGAAGAGCCAAGTGGAGGCGGGAGGCGAAAGTGAGGCTGCAAGCTGCCCAGACAGGTGAGGCCCCCCATCCTTTCCCCCACGGGACGGACCCCTGCCCGGCGCTCAGGGGGACGTTGCCCTGTAATGCAAGCAGCCAAAGGACAGCAGAGGAAGGCTGGCGGTCCCAGGCAGTGTGACGGCTGGCAAGTCCCCTCGCGTCTCTGTCCCAGCCCAGAGGGAGCCCCTGTGATTCCCCTCAGGACTGGGACCAGTGAGGATGCATGCCTGCTTGCTGGGAGCCTTCCCCCTGTTATCCCCCCAGGGCTGCACGGTGACTGGACCCTGCCCCCCTGGGCACCAGGCCAGGCCTTCGCTGCCCTCCACCCCTCCTCGGGGACTGGCACCGTCTCCACTCAGGTAGGTGGGTGCCCCCTGGTCCTTGCTTGGACTGGGGCAGCTTAGCAGCGTGCCCCTTTCCTGGGCTGGTCCCCAGGCCGCCTCTTCCCTGCCCAGGGGCCCGAGAAGCACTGCAAACCCCTCCTGCTCCACTGGTGCATGAATGCCCCCTCTCCTCCTGCCCTGCACAGGGCCCGCCTGCCGCCCCGGTGCCCCTGCCTGGCCAGGGTGGCCTCAACCCCGCCAGCCTCCACGTCACGGCACCCCCGCTGCATCTCCACACCTCTCCGCCGGGCTGCGGTAAGAGGGGTCTCGCCGGCCGGCCCCCTGCACCCGGGGGGTCTTGGATCCCCTGCACCGTGGGCTCGAGGGTGGGAACAGGTCTCAAGAGCAGTGGGGTGGGGGTGGACTTGTTTCCTGGCTTGTTTCTTGGAAGCCCCTTCTTTTGCACAAAGGGAGCCTGGGGGGTCTTGGAGGGGGAGGCAGGAGCTGTGCCATGGCTATGCCGTGTCTCCCAGGGCACGGGCACCCAGCACCCTCGTGGGCTCCTCATGGCCCGGGCTGACCGCCTGCTCTCCCACGGCAGGTCTGGCACCGGGTGAGCCCCCGTCTCCTGCCCCTTGGAAGCCGAGGCTGGCATGGCCCCCGCTGGACACCTCGCCCTGCTGTGCTCTTCCCAGCAGTGCCCTTGCTCTGCCACCCAGTGCCACCATGATGCCTCTCCTGCCACCGCCTGCTCCTGCCCCCCTGCCCAGTGCCCAGCCGGTCCCTGGAGAACGGGCACCATGGCTGCACCCCGGGCACGCCGGCTCAGCCACGGCCCTGGGGCACTTCCCCACTGGGATGCACTGCTTCTGAGGGCTGGAGGTGGGAGGCCTGCGGGATGGGCTGGATCACAGGCCACGGGACCCCATGCACCAAACCATGGACCGAGGGAAGTTGTGTAGCTCTGGAACTGGGGGTGAAGGTTTCTGAACACGTACGAGCACGGACTGGAAGGGAGAGTGACTGGGTCCTCTCTCCCTTGCAGCCTTTAAGGTCCAGACCGGTCTGATGCAGAGGCCGTGCCCCTCGCCCCCTGCTCCAGAGCTCCCCGTGCCCCTTTCCTCCAAGCCCATGTCCAGCCTGGGGTGGATCTGGCCAAGCTCTCAGTTCCCATTGCAGCTGGGAAGGGGGTGGGCTGTGGACACAAGCCCCCACTTTAATGCCATGTGGAGGGAAAATAACTTCCTTCTATTAGTTTTACATGCACACACAATAGTTTTAGGTAGAGCTTAGATGATGGCTTGTCTGAGATGGTTTGGACAGGGCTGATCCGGTTGGACTAGAAGTAACCCCCACAGATGAGTAGCACAGCTGGGGGGGGGGGGGGGGGGGAGCAGTAGATTTGGGGTTCTCCCTCAGGGGAACCCATGCTGTAGGGACTGTTGCCACCGGTGCATGGGGGTGATCTCTGGAGGTCCCCGGCAGCTGCAGAAGGAGCTGCAAATACTTCAGCGGTTTGGGCATTTTGCCCCCGTGCCGCTGTGACCCTCCCGCCAGGCCCGGGGTGGCAGCAGCGAGGGCCAATTCAAGTTCAGGGGATTCAAGCAGACTTTCTCTTCTGGCTCAAGGGAACATGCGTTGTCCCTGGGTGCTCCAGCGCGAGGAAGCCTCTCTGCCGGCGGGTGACATGCAGCTAAGCCAGGGTTTATGGAAGGGGAACATCAGACCCCGATCCGTCGTGCCCTGTCCCCCGTGCCACGCCGGGCAGAGAGCAGAGGCTGGATGCGAGAGTGACTGGGTCTGAGCTGGGTTTTCCCTGCTCCTCTCTCCCTTGCAGCCTCCAGGGGACAAATGCAGAGAAAACCTTGACTATTAAATGCAAACGGAAAGCCCAAACCATCTTCAGTCTCTCTCAGCTGCTGGCAGCCCCATGCATTGGGAAGGGAGACTCGCTCGGGGCTGATGTGGGGGGCTCTCCTGCCTAAACTAGCTGGAGTAGCAAGCGTGGGTAGGGCAGGCTGACCCCAGAGGGTCCTGCTGCTCCTCTCCGCTGGGGGTCACTGGGCTGTCTCGAGGGCTCAACCCCTGACACCAGCCAAAGCAGCAAGTGTTGGGTAAGGAGCCGGCTGGGGATCCTTGCTCCTTCATCTCCTCCTGGGGTCTGCCTCTCCTCTCTGCTGGCTGGGATGGCCTCCACTCAGGATCTGCTGCTCCCCTTGCTAGTGCAACCCCACTCATTTAGCCCCTGAGCTACCCTGCCGAGTGAGCTACCCCCTTGAGAAGCAAATATCTCCCAAGGCCATTCAAGGGGTAACTTGCACCCAGGGTCGCTCCTGCTCCATGCCTGCCCTGTCTCTGTGCTGGCATGGAGGCTTTCCCTCCACTGCAGACCTCCGCAGGGAGGGCTGAGCTCTCCATGACTTCTCTTTGCACTGTCGGTGCCCTGGCAAACCCCACCATCTGGGAAGGGGGTGGGCTGTGGACACAAGCCCCTCATCCACCTGCCCACTGGATTTACACACCTGCCCTGCGGACAGCAAGAACAGGCTTATGCAGCCCCCTCACCAATGAGGGGCTGTGGAGAAGGACCCCTCCATGGACTGAGACCTTGCACTGGTGAGGAGGTGTGTGGGTCCCCAGGACCCTTGCAGCTATGGCACCCCGGGTCTCACACTCCTGCCAGGGTCACCCATAGCAAACCGGCCTGAGGAGACGCTCCAGACAACCCCCGTCCGACCTCAAGTCCTCAATGGACGTTCAGGCAGAAGGATCTCAATTTTGGCAATGAAAATGGTTTGGGGGTTGGGGCACAGGAGAGGCTGACACACAGGAAAAAGCCAACTTGCTAAATGGGTACTTTGAGCCAGTTTTTCACCAGTCCCACGGGACGCCCCTGCCCACTGCGGGACAGGGGGAGATCCCTTACCCTCCATCGAAGCTGACCTCATGAAGGAACACCTTGAGAGGCTGGACACCTTCAAGTCAGCCGGCCCTGATGGTCTACACCCCAGGGTACTCAAGGAGCTGGCGAGCATCATAGCCCAGCCTCTGACATGGATCTTCGAGAGCTCTTGGCACTCTGGTGAAGCGCCCGAAGACTGGAAGAGGGTCAATGTGGTACCTATCTTCAAGAAAGGGAGGAAAGTGGATCTGGCAAAATACAGGCCCATCAGCCTGACCTCTATCCTGGGGAAGGTCTTGGAAAAGATCATCAAAGAGGCCATCCTTAACAGACTAGTTGAAGGCAACACCCTGAGGGATACCCAGCATGGGTTTGTTGTGGGTAGGTCTTGGTTGGCCAATCTCATTTCCTTCTACGACCAGGTGACCTATCACCTGTACAAGGGAGAAGAAGTTGATGTCATATATCTTGACTTCAAAAAAGCCTTCGATCTGGTGTCCCATGATCACCTCTTGGCTAAACTGGCTAACTGTGGCCTCGACCACACCACAATCCATTGGCTGGGAAATTGGCTCCGTGGTCGGACCCAGAGGGTGGTGGTTCACGGAAGTCAATCGTTGAGGTTCGCTGTGCCCAGTGGGGTCCCTCAAGGCTCTGTCCTTGGGCCTGTGGCAGGCCAGTAGGGGGCGCTCCTGTGCTGAGCCTCCCACCTCCCTGCGCCCGACCATCTTCCAGGCTCCGAGTGCCTCCCTGGGGGCACCTCACGCCTGGCCGACCCCCTTCCTGGAGCACACCCGCTAGCCTGGGGGTGCCACTGCCACCACCCCGAGAAGGGACTTAATTCTGGCTCTGTGCACCCTGGGAAACATGGGCCTAGTAGCCCTTGAGGGTACTTGGTTCAATTACAGAAGTTGGGATGCTTCCCTGAGTCAGAAGCACAAGTAGTGGTCTCTCTTAGTCAGCCGAACCAGGGGGACACCAAGGCATAATCTAGACCCACTCCCAATAAGTCTCCTACACTAGGTACAAAGGAGAACTTTATTGGTTGTAGAGGGTAGGGTTAGAATAGGGTACAGGGTAGAGCAATATCAGAGAAATCCCATCGAGCAAACTCCTGTGGCTGGGGGAGTCTTTGATCTCGCATCTGAGTTACTGCAAGCTATTATCTAGGTGGATCTCAGGTAGCTTACTCACAAGTATCATCCAGAGGCAGGTGGAGAATCCAACTTTGTTCCTGAGTATCCCTCATGGTTGTTGCCCCGCTCCTCCTGGGCAGTCTTTAACTCATATAGCCCTTGTGACCTCAATTACCTGGTCCAATGGAGGCCAGTACCTGTTGGCTGTCAGCCAACCAATTTGAAATACATCAGTAGTTGCCGGGCAGACTCTAGCCCACCAGGAAGGAAGCCCCTCACCCAGGTGTGTGATGCCAGTCACGTAGGCAGAGGGAGCAGGTTTCCCCCTCCCTCAGGAATGTATCCAGCTCAGGTTACCTAAAGAGGTAAGGAAGTGTCTCTCGGCTGGTCCATCCTAATCACAATTGTCACAGAGCAGAGATTAATCAGCTCTTCCTTCTTTAGCTCTTTCTTCACATGAAGGCCTCTCTCTTTTGCCAGCTCTTTCAAGTTGGCCACTGTCATGTGGACATACTTGTCATCCATCCTAGCTATCTACACTGTCCAGTCGACCCAATACCAAATTGATAATTGTTTGCTCAAGGGTTTTCAGTGACTCTATTCCTTTTCCCAAATTATGCCTCTAATACAGTAGGGTATTCAGATTCCACCTCTGCCACCACGTGTGGCTGGCCTGCCACAGGGCCTATACTGTATAACATCTTCATCAATGATGTGGACATTGGTGTCAGAAGCGGACTGGCCAAGTTTGCCGATGACACCAAACTGTGGGGTAAAGCATCCACACCTGACGAGAGTGCCTTGTGGGTCAGGATTGACAGAAAGATGAACATGAGCCTTCAGTGTGAGGCTGCAGCCAGTAAAGCGAGCAAAACACTGGCTTACATCCATAGATGCTTCTCAAGCAAATCCCGGGACGTCATTCTCCCCTTGTACTCGGCCTTGGTGAAGCTGCAGCTGGAGTACTGTGTCCAGTTTTGGGCTCCACAATTCAAAAAGGAGGTGGAGAAGCTTGAGAGAGTGCAGAGAAGAGCCACGCGCATGATCAGAGGTCAGGGAAGCAGACCTTACGATGACAGGCTGAGAGCCCTGGGACTCTTCAGCCTGGAAAAGCGCAGGCTCAGCGGTGATCTGGTGGCCACCTATAAGTTTATCAGGGGTGTTCACCAGGATCTGGGGAAATGTCTGTTCACCAGAGCGCCCCAAGGGATGACAAGGTTGAACGGTCACAAACTCCACCGCGACTGATTCAGGCTGGACATAAGGAAGAACGTCTTTACTGTCTGAGCCCCCAAGGTCTGGAATAGCCTGCCGCCGGAGGTGGTTCAAGCATCCACTTTGAACACCTTCAAGACACATTTGGATGCTTATCTTGCTGGGATCCTGTGATCCCTGCTGACGTCCTGCCCCTGGGGCAGGGGGATAGACTCAATGATCCTCTGGGGTCCCTTCCAGCCCAAATATCTATGAAATCTATGAAACTGGGCTGCTTTAATCTGGAGAAGACCAAGTGGGATTGAATAGCAGCCTTCAGCTCCCTGCAGGGGGGTTGCAAAGAGGATGGGACTGGGCTGGTCTCAGTGGGGGCAGGTGACAGAAGGAGCAATGGGTTCAAGCTGCAGCAAGGGAAATTGAGATTGGATATTAGGACAAACTTTCTCACTAGGAGGGTGGTGAAGCACTGGAACAGGTCACCCAGAGAGTCTCCATCCTTGGAGGTTTTGAAGACCCAGGTAGACAAAGCCCTGGCTGGGATGATGTAGCTGGGTCTGGTCCTGCTTTGAGCAGGGGGATGGACTGGATGTGACTCCTGAGCACCTTCCAACCTTCATACTCTATGATGATATGACTGTAAAGACAGAAGAAGGTTTAAGCTAGATGGAGGTCTCCTGTCATCTAGGGTTTTCCCTTGCCCTTGGAAACAGCACACTGTCCTGTACCAACCTCCACAAGCCACATGACGACAGACCAATGGTGACGGAGACAGGCCTGGCAAATCTAGCAGTATCCTGATGGTTGTCTTGCAAGTTGAGACAGGGGTACAATTTGGCAGGTGTTACCACGATTGAGGAGTCCTATTCAGGATCCCCCCTGCTCACAGGGCTAGCAAAGTGCCCTAAACCGAGGCTATCTTATCTGCTCTTGGCTGGATAACAGCATCCAGCGGGATCACTCTCTTTGTAGTGAGAGCACCGTCAGAAGACAATGATTTTCATGAAGTAACGCGTCTTGCCCTCGAAGCAGAGAAGACAGGGTGGAGGAAGGACAAGGAGAGGAGCCCCTGCCTGCAGCCTGCTCTCCCCTGGGGAAAGCCCTGCAACTCCTGCGGACGGGTCTGTGGCTCGAGGATTGTCCATCACGTGTACAAGTGCCCTTAAGTTGCCGCAAGACCCGTCACTGAGCCATGGGGAGATCATCCACGAAGGGGGATTGCCGCTGCCGTCGCTGCAGAGGAGGACTACGCAGAAGCACAGCAGAAAACGAGCAGGGTGACGCGGAGAACTGGAGTGTGCTACAGAGATGGCGTCAAGCCAGAAATTGGGTAGGGGCCCTCCCTGGTGACATCTTCTCAGCAGTCCTGGCTGCAGGTTTTTCTGGAGTCTTGTCTGCTTTCTTAAAGAAAGCGTCCAGGACAGTTGGACGGACGTTCTCCAGGGAGATGAGCGACGCAGTGAACTTGTTCACTGGCATGGCATTGCATCGGATCAAGCGTTGTAAAGTCGAGACTGAGGTCATAACATTGAAACAGGGCATCAACGTATAAACGTTGTAAGTGGAAAACATTGTAAGTCGAGGACTGCCTGTATATGTGATGTGTAGCAGGGGACATGGATCTCAAGGCATGTGCTGGCGCAGTGCTGATCTGCTGGTGTGCAGAGCTCTCTTTGCTGGCTGTGTGTCCGGGGGTGGTGCAGCCCTGTCCCTGTCATCCTGGGCCTCCCACCTCCCTGCGCCCGACCATCTTCCAGGCTCCAAGTGCATCCCTGGGGGCGCCTCACACCTGGCTGACCCCCTTCCTGGAGCACACCCGCTAGCCTGGGGGTGCCACTGCCGCCACCCCGAGAAGGGACTTAATTCCCTCCGGAAACTCCGCTCCCCCAGACAAGCACAACCGGCAAGGACTGCTAAATGCAGACACCCTGCAGCTCACAGCCCGTGAGGGGACTCCACCGTGCCTGGAGCCTGCCAGGGTACAGACTATCCCACCTAGTGGCTACCAGCATTGGCCTCGCTTCCTCCTGCTCAGCCCAAGCTGGGGCACTGAAAGAGACCCTCTCCGGGCAGACCCCCTCCTGCAGTGCCCTGCCCTGCCCACATCACATCCACCAGGCTGGACCACCTAAAGGGTAGAGCTGAGCGTGGAGCTGGGGGATGCATGGGGTAGGAGTCAAAAGCCGCAAGTCAGGAGCCTAAATGCCAAGCCAGGGTCAGGAGCTGGGCATGAGAAGCCTCTTTTTCAAGGGCAAGGAAACGCCAAAGCAGGGAGCGGGCAGTGTGCAGACGGAGCCAAAGCAGGGAGAGGAGTCAAGGAAGGGATGTGCAGCAGAAGGGAGAGGCCGCGGTGGAGGAGCAAGCCGAGGCAGGGCCAGACCCAGGCAGAGAGGGATGCTGCTGTGCGCGGAGCTGCGCAGAGATCCAGGACGGCGCGGTGTGCAGCCAGGTGCAGGGGCTGGAGCAGCGCCCGCAGGGCAGCCCCAGGGGTGAGACTCAGCTGGCCTTGGAGAGATGGGGACTGGGGTAAAGTCATGACGGAAAAACACAGGCAGCAACTGTGGTGGGCCAGTAGGGGGCGCTCCTGCGTTGAGCCGCCCACCTCCCTGCGCCCGCCCACCTTCCAGGCTCCGAGTGCCTCCCTGGGGTGCCTCCCGTCCGGCCGACCCCTTCCCCGGAGCCCACCCGCTAGCCTGGGGGTCCCGCTGCCACCATCCCAGGCTCTGGACTCACTTCTGGCTCTGCGCACCTTGGAGAACACAGGCCTGATCGTCCAATGGGTGCTAGACCCAGTACAAGCACTTGGGGCACTTCCCCAAGTCAGGGGCTGATTAGGAAGCCTCCCTTAGTCCACCGACCTAAGGGGCCTCCTTGGCATAATTTAGACCCACCCCTCACTAAGTCTCCCACACCGGTCACAAAGGAGAACTTTATTGATTACAGGGGTAGGGCAGAAATAGGGTAAAAGGTAGAGCAATATCAAGAAATCTTATAGGAATATCAAAGGAA